CTCTTTCCAGTGGTGCCCAGTGACAGGACAAGGGGCAACGGGCACAAACTGGAGCAGAGGAAGCTCCAGCTGAACCCGAGGAAGAACTTCTTCCCTCTGAGGGTGACGGAGCCCTGGCCCAGGCTGCCCAGGGAGGCTGTGGAGTCTCCTTCTCTGGAGATATTCCAGCCCCGGCTGGACGCGGTGCTGTGCCCCCTGCTCTGGGTGACCCTGCTTGGGCAGGGGGTTGGGCTGGGGGACCCACAGAGGTCCCTGCCAACCCCGACCATTCTGTGATTCTGAAAATAGTTAGTATGCGGAAGGCTTTCCTGCCTAAAATTGAAAGGGTTTGGAGACTGAAAGCTGCTGAGGGGGCTTGTGCAAGAATCTCCCCCAAGGGAGAAGAAAAATATCACAGAGTATCTAGTGCAAATGCCATTTGCAGAGTCCTTGATATCCGCACACAGAGTATAGTCCGTGTGCCGTTTGTCAGTTTAACTTGACTATGAACTTTTCTGACCTTCCTGGGGCTGACAGAGCTGTGAAATTCGTGCAGTCTTGCTTGCTGGAAGGCGTGTTCACCTCGGTGTACAAGGAGCTGCTAAACAACTCTTCACTGTATGAGCTAATAGGAGTCTGGAATTCTCAGCAAGAATACTCTCACTGGATGCAAAAGCTAGAATACTTGCCTAATTCCTGATTAAATCACATTGCAGCCTCAGCTGAGCTGCTGTTACTGTAAGCCAGTGGACATCACTTTAGAAGAAGTGGCCTTTGGAATCTGGTGTTCCTTCACCAACACATTTAAGTGGCTTGCTCCAGGCTGAAAGCAGAAGTGGCACCAGTAGGGTGTCACTGAATTGGAGGGAGCTCTTGTTAAACTCATCAGGTATTTCAGCTCGGTGCAGGTGCCTGTAGAACTGTATGAAGCTGATCCTCCTTGGTCTTGCCTCTCTGGACGCTTGATGGGCTAGTGTATGATTTCATGATGGGTTTGGGCCAGGCAGACATTGCAGTGCTGACACAAGTGGTGCGCCCGGCATCTTTAGGAATGCTAAAAATTGTGCAGCTGCAGAATAAAGTGGATCAGCTTGCTGATCTGTCAAAAAAAAACCCATCTTCTAAGGTAGAGGGAGTGGGGAGAGGTTAACAGTTTGATGTGATTCATTGTGTGGCTGCATAATCACTAGTGCCTACACAAGAAAATAATGGAAAAACATGGGAGATACGGGAGAAAGAGGGCTAGAACATCTCTTCTTGCTACAACATGATTTCAGATGGATGCAAGCTAACCGTGAAGTGTACCATTGCTATCTGCTATTCTTGAAGCATTGTTTGTGCCAGTATTGTGAAAGGTTTGGGCTATCATGACTAGAGTTAAACTGGTAGCAACCCTTGGCTTTTTCCTTTTTTTTTTTTTTTAAACAGCACGAATAATTTAAGTAACTTTAGAATATGTAAGAGTGGCAACACAGCATGGTGAAGTTGTTCTGCAGCAGTGATAGCCTGAAATACAGAAATAGTAAGGCTGGTAGAGACAAACAGGTATGTTCGTTTGTCTAGGAGGGTTGAGCAGGAGGAGTGCACAAGCTTTTTAGCTCCACAGACTTGTCTTCAGGGCACGTATGCCTCACCATCGCTTTCTTATCTGAAAGTTAGTCTCTTAGGCTGGACCATGTCTAAATGGGGATGTTTAAAATACACTTTGCCTTTAAAGGAAAGAATACGAGCGTTGTCTTACCAGCTTGAGTAAGTCAAACATTGAGAGAAATCCTTTGGGGAAAGCTAGAAGAATACATTCAAGAAGGAATAAAATACACTTCTCTTACTAACTCATCTTGTGATCTCTTTATCTTCAGCTGCTCAGATAAAGAATTTGATGAGCCAGCTGGGAACCAAGCAGGATTCCAGCAAGCTTCAGGAGAACTTGTGAGTATCAAATGAGATAACATTTATGTAAGTTCTCTTTCATTTCTGTCTGTATTGTTAGAGGAGCTGGGTTACTTGCTTTGGGGAGATAGATGCGCTGTTCAATAAATTTAATGCAGTCCTACAAAACAAAGCTAGCTATGTTGAGTAGTTTACTGAATTAATTACCATGTTTCAGCCATTCAAAACTGCTGGATGGGAATGGTTACAAATGGTATAGTTTATTTAGAAAGGGTAGTAGTACACCAGCCACGCATTAGCTGTGTGCTGAGGACTAGCCACAGCGGCTTCACCTGTGGTTTAGAAGAAGCGAATGCCATACTAGGTACTTGGTCCTCACGTAAGAGCAATAAGGAAAAACAGCAAGGAAGGCCTATAACTGGTGAAATAGTAGCTTGTAGTGCAGATAGATTTAGGCACTAGAAAGATTAGCAATCCTGTGTGGCAGCCAAAATGCCACATGTCATTTCAGAAGAATAATATGGCAGTGGGGGACAACATAGAAGACACTTAAACAGGCGTAGTCCAAAGTGACTGCTAGGGAGACTGAACAGGGAGTCAGTATGTCTGTGCATCTTTTACAAACTTGTGAAGCATAAGTAGCGAGTTATGAGAAGAATAATTTCCAGAGTAATAAAAGAAAACTTGGAAGTAAGTTCTTCCACTGTCTCTTCATGTGACTGTACCTTGAATCTCTGAGTATGCAACTTCCCTGTTTTTCTATAATAGCTGATTTTTGGAGAAGTTCATAACTTGTGGTGGTAGCTAGATGCACCACACTTGAAGGATGAGATCAGAGCCTGCTTGGGAGGAAAAGGAATTTGTTTGCCTGAGCTGCTCGGTTGACTTGATCTGTATTTAATTGGTAGATTAAAAAACTAATCACTGGTGACCAAACAAATGTCTTTCCAGTTACTTTCATTGTAGAAATGACCCTCATCTTTAAGGTGAGTGTTTGCGCTCACAAATTGTCAGCTGCTGTACAAATTTAACACAAAAATGCATGGGTGGTTTATTTAGCTCACATATTGGTTGTGGAGTCTCCTTCTCTGGAGATATTCAAGACCCGCCTGGACAAGGTCCTGTGCAGCCTGCTCTGGGTGACCCTGCTTCGGCAGGAGGGTTGGACTAGATGACCCACAGAGGTCCCTTCCAACCCCTACTATTCTGTGATTCTGTGATTGCAGGTCAACTTGTAGAATAATGCAGCCTGAATACTTTGATTTGTGTATTTATCAGGCTGAATAGGTGACTTCACAAGCATCTTGTTATCCATTGAATGCCAAAAAAATCGGTTCTCATATTAGTATTTTGTATCTTCCTGGTTTACACTATTAGTTTTTGTGCATATGGCTGCAAAATAAAAGCTGCAGTTCTGCTCCCTGTGAAGCACTAACTTTCTTTCTACTAAACTGCATCTTTGTTGTGCAAGGTGATGTCTTCACATGCAGTTCAGTTCAATTAATGGCTTTCTGTATTGTGGTACTAATGAAGGTGCTGTTCCCCTAGATCCTTTGCAACAATAGCTTTGAATTGCAGCGTTGCTGGAAAGCATAAGGGCTCAAGGGAAAGCCTTGCATTTCCCAAAGTAGAAGCTGGATCATTCCTCTCTCTGACCATTAATTTTCAGGAAAATATAAGAATTTAATACTTTTGAGTCTCTGTGCTTTTATCAAATGTACATTTAACCAATGGAGCTGGCAGCTGTCATGTGAACAGTTAGTTACCAATTGGTACCACAAAGAATTCACCCTAAAAGAGTGATTATGTTCACTGAATAAAGTTGTCTCTCCCTTGAAGTTTTCTCTCATGCCATTGGAGAAAAATATCTTTTTAAAACTGCTGAATTATACTAGTTAGCAGGGAGCACGGAACTTCTCTGAATCTTTTTTAAAATGTAGTCCAGAGTCAAGTTAAAAGTCCATCTCTGTTCCATTAGGATGAAAAAAACCACCATAAAGATGTCTGATCTCAGAACCCCTACTTGGTCATTTTTTTGGAATCTGAAATGCTCAGAGACTGCTTTTCTGAAGCTTGTGTAACTGCTTTTGAATTTTTATTTCAGACAACAGCTACAACATTCTGCAAACCGCCTTGCCAAAGAGACCAATGAATATCTAAAGGAGCTGGGGTCTCTGCCACTTCCTCTATCTGCTTCTGAACAGGTGGGCACGCAGAATTTGTCTGGGTGTATTTTTAAATCACTCATTTCATGCAAGTAGCTTAGACTGCAGCCTCACAAAGCTTTAACGGAGACAGCAGCCTTTAGTGATGAAGAATGTTGCTGAAGAAGGGAAACGCATTAAGCTGGCTGCTTATGTGACACTGGGAAAACAATGTTTCCCAGTGGCAAATAGGTGTAAAACTTACTCGCATGGGAATAAGGAGTGTTAAATGTTTGGGGAGAGCTGAGTATGCAATTTGGTTTTTCTGAGTAAATTTCTAAAAAATAGTCTTGTTTACAAAGCGCCTGGTGATGCGAGGCAGTGTTTCAGGGTAAGAACTAACAGCAAACTGCATGTCAGATGAAATGTGATCACGCCAAAAAGCTTTCTCTTGCATGTGATGTCTCAGTGGGGGGAAAAAGCTGACTCACCTTGCTCATACTTGACTAAAGCAAAATATAGTGAGGCAATGATTATGACTTTATCTCTTGCCAAGTAGTCCTTCGAGTTCCCCCTCTGTATGGGAAAGGGAAGGGACAGTCCTCTGCTGTTGGCGTTTTCTTGCTCTACTTTAAAAAATTACCACAATCTTGATATGTCTGCTTTTGTGATACTGCTGTGGGATGATCGGTGGATATGGGTCAGCAGATGTTTTCTTAGTCTAATTCTGTATGTAAAGGTTTATGTGCCAGTTGTAAGCATGGCCATGTTTTGCCTGTTTGTTCAGCAAATATTTGTGAGTTAATTTCCCTCTGGTGAACAAAATCCTGTGATGTGCATCTCTCCGAATGCAGCAGTGACTTCTGAAGCCTAGTGAAGCCCGTTGGAGTAGTCCAGTCAAAATCTGCAGGAGCTGGTATTAACCTGCTGAGGATCTCCTCTGGCAGAAGAGTTGTTGCTTCCAGACAGCTCAGATGGAAGCTGCAGCGGATTATGAGACTGCTGTAGTGGCTTATTATAGAGGAAAAAAAAAATAAAAATTGAAAACATTTATTTCCTTGAAATGGCTGTTGAATTGATATAAACTCATTGAAAGATTACAATACTGGAAAGCCTGCAATTTGAGACAGCTGTTGGGAATCTCTCTAATGGAAAACATAAGAACTGACCGGAGCATTGAGTGTCCTTTTTCACAGCTTCTTGTTTCCTGTAAGTGGAATGTCACAACACTCAAAGGAGATGCTCTGTGCAAGCTAAATAAGTTCATACTGTAAAACGAGGATGAAAAGGAATACTGCAATGAATGTGTTTGGAGAAAAGATAAACTGAAATGGTTATCAGGACTAAGGATATCCTCTGATCAAATAACAGCAGGCTTGTAGTGTGGCATGGCTGGGAGAGGGAGCTGATGAAACTGGGGTAATGGGTGTTGTCATTAGTTCTGGAAGCGTGGGGCTTCCTCTGTTTGTAAGAAGGTTAAGGGGGTTGTCTTACCGGGACAAGAGAAAGTTAAGTACTTCCAGGCTGGCTAAGTAGAGGAATGGAGGGTAAAGGCATTGTAGGTATCCAAAAGGTACGTAATGAAATGTGGTAGATGACTGGAATGTGATTTGAATAAAAGTAACAGTGTAGAAGACCTCTCTACTTCAGGCTTAAAACTAGATTGAAATTATTGTTCTCTCCAGTGCCCCAGAATGCTGGAACCAAAAGATCCTGTGAACGCCGGCTTTCATCGTTGTTGTTATGATGATGGGTTTTTTCACTCTGACAGTTACGTTCTCATGAATGGGAATATCTGAACACTTGGTTTTGTTTCAATTCCTTAGCGCCAACAGAGGCTTCAGAAAGAACGTTTAATGAATGACTTCTCCGCGGCCTTAAATAACTTCCAGGCAGTACAGAGGCGAGTGTCAGAGAAGGAAAAAGAGACTGTGGCAAGGGCGAGAGCTGGCTCCCGTATCTCTGTAAGTATTTATAGGAGTTTTGTATTGATACAGTGAACTACAAGTCTGTGAGATATTTTGTACTTGCCTACCAACTTCATAGCTGTCTCCTGACATGTTACCGAGTGTAGATGAGGCCTCGGTGCGTTAGTTTTGTCATTCCAAATGTTGTAAGTCAGCACTCATTTCAGTGTGCTCCTTGTCAATGGTAGGAGAGGAGGGAAGGAATCCTGGTAGTTGTAAATGTTGTGGAGGACGAGCTGAGGATAGTTAAGTATAGTTAATAGCAAAGTATTGCAGGCTGCTCTTTGCTTGATGTCAGGCCTAGACTATAAAATTTAAGAGGTCAGTTGGAAGCTTATCACACCTTAAATTACATCTGAAATCTCACGCTGTGTTTCTTTATTTTATTATAGCTTCTGTCCTGCTAACATCTTGAATGTACATTCAAACTTTCTCCCTATTATGTTTTGAGAAACCCCTGTGACTACTAAGAATTCATAATAAAAAGGCCAGTGAAAGCATTTTTCTCCCCTTGCCTTGGGGCTTTGTGTCAAGTACGCATTCTTAATTTCTACGAGGGAACACATTTATCCATTGGATTATGCTCTGAATTTTTTCCTGTGTGTTGAGAAAGCAAGTGACAAACGACAGCTGGTCTGAGTTAATGGATTAGCTGCTTTTGATTGCTCAGTTACCTCTGATTTGCAGAGACATTCTGAATCTTAAATTAAATCAAATCTAAAGATGAATCTAAGTCTAATCTTAATTATCTAGGTTAAATTGAAGTGACAGTGGCATTTTCAAAGAACTCTCTGGACAGTATATGCCTTTGTCTTCAAGATACTGCTGTTGATTTTGCGAGTGGTCCTGGCAGTCTGCAAGGCTAATAATTCATTTATCTCTTCCAGGCTGATGACCGGTTCAGAGA